CTTGCAGCCTTGAGACCTCAATAGACATTCCTGGGGCATAGCCTACTCTTTTAAAATGCATGTATCAGCAACTTCAACACAATTCTTATCAGGAAGGATGCAGGGTCAAGCTGCCCTTTCCATGGCACCCAAAACCCCCTCCCCTCCTGCCTTGGTCAAGCTGCATGGCCATTTTACAGCCTGCTGACTAGGTTGCTTTTTAACAATAAGCCATAGTGGTTTCAAGCACTTTACTGGTTTGCCAAAGTCTCCCCATACACTAGAAGCTCTCATACCATTATGAACTCCTGTGCAATCCAAATCCCAGGATTCCATCAATTTGCAATCTCTTGGGAGAAGCAGAATTTACCAGGCAACATCACAGGGCCAATTTTCAGCTGGTGTCAACTGTCACAGCTCCACTGAAGCTATGACAATTGACACCAGCTGAAAGTCTGCCCCCATCGGAAGCATTTTAGGTGTCACAAACTCCATCATCATGAATTCTAATAATCCCTCCAAGGTGGAGTCTTGAATGCAGAGGGCTCTATAGGCTGAATCCTTCTGGAAACTGAACCATAGTTTCTTCAGTTGGGAAAGCCTTTCAAGCAGCTCCCCAGCCAAACAGGTTCTACTTTGGCTGGCAAATGCTAAGTCTGTATGTACCTGAGGCCCAAACAGGTTCCTCTGCTCTTCTAAACTCAGTAAGGAGACTGGAGAGCCTTTGAATTCAGAAAGCAGGAGATTGCAGGTATTAATCCAATCAAGGCACTCGGTCTGGGATGAAATAACAGAAGAGACAAATTACAAGAGGGAGAGAAGAATTGATATTTCATTCACTCCTGTGATTAAATAACTCCATCCTTCTATCTATGGTATTTAGATGGCCCCATCTATCCTCTTCCTACCAAGGAAAAGGAACATACACTCCTCCTAAGCCTTCAAGCATGGAGCCTTTCATGGGCTAATCACCTATTCCATACAATATATTTAACAAGCTGCCAATTGGTTTGGCCCAACAGTGTAGTGACAGCGCATTGCCCTGAAAGCTTGGGGCAGGGATCAGAGTTCAGGCCCCAAGTTTGTTTGTTTTTACCCCATAAGCCAGCACAGACCAGAAGTGCTGGGGAGGAGCATTCTCAACCCCTGCAGGAAGCATTTCCTCACACCACTTTGGGACAACCCCATTTCTTTGATGCTTAGAACAATGCGAGGCTTCAGAGGGACACATGCTCAGTATTCCTTAATGGTAGAGTGGATCAGCCCAACACGAGGTGGCCTTTGAAGGTATTGGGAATTCAAGGAGGGAGGAATGGAGATATGCAGTACTAGAGGGCACCTTCCCTGGCTCCTCTAAGATAAAATCCTGCAGTTAACATGTTATCTGCATAATAGCTTTACATATATATGTAGAATCAGGAGACATGAGGACTAGATAAGGAAGTCTTGCCCACTGCTGAATAGGGTACTGTTCCCAGTATAGCCATGGGTCTCTCTCCCTAGGCTCAGCAAAACCCTGGATACGACTACCTAGCCCAAGTGCCTGACATGCTTTAAATTAGATTTGAGTCTATTGCAATTCTTATATGGATTAGATCCTACAGAAAAGTCCCAAGGCATGTACGCTGGAACAGTGTAAGGAAGGAATTAAGTCTGAACATGGCCCAGACTTCTCAAAACTGTGCAGCTTTTGAAGTGGTCTCTGGGGTCAGTAGGAAACTGCTGGGAGGAATCCATGAATGGAGGTAGAGTTTGACTGGAGGAAGTGTTGAGGGATTCTCTGGAGCATTGAGAACAGGAGTACTTGTGGCACCTTAGACTAACAAATTTATTTGAGCATACGCTTTCATGGGCTACAGCCCACTTCATCAGATGCATGGAATGGAACATATAGTAAGGAGATATATACACACAGAGAACATGAAAAGGTGGAAGTAGCCATATCAACTCTAAGAGGCTAATTAAGATGAGCTATTATCAGCAGGAGAAAAAAACCATTTGTAGTGATAATCAAGATGGCCCATTTTAGACAGTTGACAAGAGGTGTGAGGATACTTAACATGGGGAAATAGATTCAATCTGTGTAATGACTCAGCCATTCCCAGTCTCTATTCAAGCCTAAGTTAATGGTATCTAGTTTGCATATTAATTCAAGTTCCAACGAGAAACTGCTGCGTCTGTTTTTGAAGCTTTTCTGTTGCAAAACTGCCACCTTTAAGTCTGTTACTGAGTGACCAGAGAGGATACAGACTAACATGGCTGCTACTCAGACATCTGGAGCATTGGGGTCTCTAACCAGGGTCCGTATCATCCAATTAATTTGATTATGTTTTAATTCACTACTGACCATTGGTGAACCATAAAGGCTGAATATATTGCTGCAAGAAAGAAATATTTGGTGGTGGTTTGTGGCTTTCTACGCTTGGGTCTAAGATGAAGCAAAAATGTTCTGTCTGTTCAAACTCCTTCCTGACTCCCTTGTGTGTGTTAGCTTTGTGCCAGTTCTTCCTCTTACCCTTTCACAAATAAACCCAGGATGATCTGGACCATACTGTGGACAGACACTGTTACCTTGATTTTCTCCAGCTCCCGCAGCTCATAATTGTAGTCTGAATCTGCTTCAGCTTGTTTCTTCCGAACTGTAACATCTACCAACTCCTTGCAGCAGCTGAGGAGACACAGAATGACACCCACCCTCTAAGCCAGCGGTAAGCAACCTATGGCACACGTGCCGAAGGTGGCACGTGAGCTGATTTTTCAGTGGCACTCACACTGCCCGGGTCCTGGCCACCAGTCGGGGGGTGGGGGGGAACTCTGCATTTTAATTTAATTTTAAATGAAGCTTCTTAAACATTTTTAAAACCGTATTTACTTTACATACAACAATAGTTTAGTTATATATTATAGACTTAGAGAAAGAGACCACCTAAAAACGTTAAAATGTATTACCGGCATGCAAAACCTTAAATTAGAGTGAATAGATGAAGACCTGGCACACCACTTCTGAAAGGTTGCCGACCCCTGCTCTAAGCAATGCTCTCAAACACCTTTTTCCCCTTGGTCAGAATTGTGCAGGATCCTGTTGTTGCAACAAGACATAGCGTGATCACACATAGCAGGATTTTTAAAGCAGCGCCATGTACAGACAAGGGCAGCCCATTCCTTTGGGTTTGTTTATTAAGTGATGCATTTGTCAGGTTTTTGATACGCCTTAGAGAAGGGGCTATGGGAGGATGTAGGCCTATAAGACTGTGCTTAATCTCCCCAGTATTACAGGAGGGCTGCGACATAGTAGCAAACTATTGAGAGAGAATGTTTAAGTTACCTGACCAGCCAAGTTCTCTCTCTGATATTACTCCCAACAGTTCCATTTGAATTAAGAGCTTCCTCCCTCACAGACCAGCTTCTCCCTGGCCCAGTAGTGAAGTCATGTAAAGGCCCTAGAGGCATTTCTTGCCAACCTGTCATATCAGCTATACCCTTTAGGGCACCACTTCCTTCAGCTTCCATAGAGTGGGAGAGAAGCAGCTCCCTCCAGGATCTTGGAGAGAGCCTTAGAAGGAGCCCACTTTGAAACCCACCCCCCAGCATGGGTATTAGCAGGAGATGGCCAGGCAGACTCAAACTGGGAGCCTGTCCCAGCAGAGGAGCAGCAGCAGCATATGAATGTGTCTGTCTTCATGCCCTGTTCTGTCTCTCTCCCCTCACCCTTTTCTTGGGTGTCTCTTTCCTCCTTTTCACCCTTCTTCTCATTTCTCCACTCAGTCACTGAGCCAGCCAGCAAGTCTCTCCAAACAAGTCCCCGTCCCCTTGGTCACTCTCTTTCACCCTTCTTCCAGTATCCCTCTCTCCCTTGTCTCCTGTCCAATTTGTCCCTTTCCCAGGTTCCATCTCCTTCTGGAGCTGAATGGGGACTGTTACCACACAGCATTACTGGCACAACAGACAGTGGAATCCCAGAGGATTGGGCTCTTGTCTGTTTTCCTTTATAAAACATGCACCACATTAGAGCACGATTCTGTAGATGCCAACATTATAGCCAGGGGACCCACTGCTTGCTTTATAAACTCAAACTCCTCCAGGATTCCCCAATCATTTTCTTCAGCATGACGTTTACCACGTGAATCTCTGATATGTCTAAGAGATCCGAACAATGCTCATAGCCAGTCAAGCCCTCAGTGATTACATAGCTGTGGGTGCTGAACAACACAAGTCGTTCCAGCTAATGTTATCATTAACTTATACTTGAAATGTTTCCTTCTGAGTGCCACACAGCATTAAAGTTGCATTTTTATGATCCCACCCACTTTTGGGGAGATCATACCTCTCTTCAGAGGGCTTTCCCATCACACTAAGGATTTTTTTCTAATGGGAAAATCCCATAGGCAGGTGAGGTCCCAAGGCTTTATTAATACCTCATTACGTAGCTGGAGAATCTGCTCAGTTTGGGAACCAGGTTCATAGCTTCTTCCTCTAATTTATAGCCCCTTAGCCTCTTGAGCTCTTGATCCTTAGCAGCTTCTGACTCATTCTCTAGGAGACCCTTATTGGAGGAGTGGTCAGGTACCATCAAAGTCAGGAAATTCACTATCCACATGGTCAGGTCTTTGTGGAGATCAATCATCTGCATAGAAGTTCAAACTAAAGGATTAAACTGGATCAAGAATCTGGAATGGTAAGAGGGTGTCTGATTTGCAAAGTACTCTGACTTTAGTGGCAAAGTTCAGATGTGCGGGTAAATATACTGACAGTCACTACACTTGTAAACTGCCCCTCTAAGATAGAAAAGATGTTAACATAGGATGAAAACTATCAATCAGCCACACAGCAGTATGACACTTCCAGGAACCAGGAGTATCCCACAACTTATGGGGGCACTGATGGGGCATTTCAAAAATAACTTTGTGGCAGCTGCCAAACAGGATTCTAGGGTGAATCCAAGATCCAACAGGACCAAGCAGCTATCTGAGCTGGAAATGGGAAAGTCACTCTGGAGGAGACACCAGATGAGACTGGAGATCAAGAAAAGATAGCTGCTATCAGGAGCTTATTTCCAAAGGATTCTGGGGAGACTGGAGCTAAGGTTTTCACACCCTTCACCCTATTATTTTCTCATTTATTTTCTCTAGGAACTACTTCTCATAGTGGAAGGATACATTACAGAAAACTCTATATACACCTCCACCCCGATATAACGTGACCCGATATAACACGGTAAAGCAGCGCTCCGGGGGGGCGGGGCTGCGCGCTCTGGCAGATCAAAGCAAGTTCGATATAACGCGGTTTCACCTATAACGCGGTAAGATTTTTTGGCTTTTGAGGAAGGCGTTATATCAGGGTAGAGGAGTATTTAAACAGGAAATGTAAAATTAAATGATCCATACTCTTGATACAGCAATAAGCCACTGCAGGGAGGGCAGTGGTAGGCTACTGGGACACTTCTCCAGTGGCTGAAACACACACATGCATACTCTTCCCTGCCTTACTTCTATAATAATCCATACAGTATGGGGTCCCAAAGATTTTCAAAGCATAGGCCACATCTTCATAGAGAGATTGTCTCATGGACCAGCTTCGTTATTGTAGCCCACTGTTGTATGTTACAGGTCCCCACCTGTGCCAAAGCGCAGAGGACAGGTGTGTGTTACAGCCTGCTACTGCCTGGCCCTTTAGCTCAAGTTGAAGCAGCTTATGCTTTTAGCTCTGGAGGTCTCAGATTCAATCCCTGCTGAGTCAGCTGTCATGATGAACTTCCTTCCCTGTGCAAATAAAATAACATCCCTGTGCCAGCTACAGCAATTGCCTATACTGAATAACATTTAATGTTGGTTTAACTATCTTTGAGTGCAGTTTAACACATGGAAACAAAGCCAATGAGACAGCCAGTTAAGTCCAAAGGGATTTCACAAAACTGGGTGACTGGGCAACAAAATGGCAGATGAAATTCAATGTTGATAAATGCAAAGTAATGCACATTGGAAAATATAATCCCAAATATACATATAAAATGATGGGATGTAAATTAGCTGTTACCCCTCAAGAAAGAGATCTTGGAGTCATTGTGGATAGTTCTCTGAAAACATCCGCTCAGTGGGCAGTGGCAGTCAAAAAAGCGAACAGAATGTGAGGAACCATTAGGAAAGGGATAGATAATATGACAGAAAATATCGTAATGCCACTGTATAAATCCACAGTACACCCACATCTTGAATACCCCATGCAGTTCTGGTCACCGCAACTCAAAAAAGATACATTAGAATTGGAAAAAGTATAGAAAAGGACCACTAAAATAATTAAGGGTATGGAACAGCTTCCATATGAGGAAAGATTAAAAAGACTGGGACTGTTCATCTTAGAAAAGAGACGATATGATAGTGGTATAAAATCATGAATGGTGTGGAGAAAGTGAGTAAGGAAGTGTTATTTACTCCTTCACATAACACACAAACTTATGTTTGAGTCACCCAATGAAATTTATAGGCGGTAGGTTTAACACAAATATAAGGAAGTATTTCTTCACACAAAACACAGTCAGTCTATGGTACTCTTTGCCGTGGGAACTATAACTGGATTCCAAAAAGAATTAGATGACTTCACAGATGATAAGTCCATCAATGGCTATTAGCCAAGATGGTCAGGGATGGAGCCATGCTCTAGGTGTCTCTACCCTCTGACTTCCAGAGGCTGGGAGTGGATGACCCGAGATTGATCACTCAAAGATGGCCTGCTCTGTTCATTCCCTCTGAAGCATCTGGCATTGGCCACTGTCAGAAGACAGGATATTGAGACAAGATGGACCATTGATCTGACCCGATAGGGCCGTTTTTATGTTCCGTTTTATGTGTAAGTAGCCAGCTGTCCATGGACCACTAAAGAATCCTCAGAGTGGAAGTTCAAATATAACAAAGAGAGGGTTGAGTTAACATAAAATTGGAATTGGTGAATGCATATAAAATAAAACAAGTGGGGAGCTGCTCTATAATTCTATACTGGCCCAGCATCCAAATCTTGGTACTTGAGGCTACTAAATGGGACGCCAGGTCCAATTCAGACATCTAGTTGCACTTTTCCTGGACCACTAAGGGCTAGGAGTCCTGAGAAGACCGTATCTTACAACTGGAGCCATTGGAAATACATGGAGTAGAAATTTCATGCTCAGATTAGGGCTGCTCAATGAAGTGTGCTTGAATTTAGAATGGCTGCAAAGAACTATCAGATGCTGCTATGGCAGCTGGGGAACAGCTGGGTGTGTAAGAGACCCCAGCCTCACCCACTACACCAGCAGCTGTGAAGAAGGGTGATGCAGGAGCCACTCTGGCAGATCAGTGGCACTTGAGGTTCCCCCTGCAACTGATGGAATCCTCCAGGCTCTTTGTCTGCTGGCTCTAAGGCTGCTTGGTGCCCCCAGAGCAGCAGAAAATAGCCCCAGTGGATCAGAGAATCAGGGCCCATGCTTCATTTCTCTGAACCCCTCCGCTAATTCTGCTTCCTCCTTTTCACCAGCCTGAAGAAACAAGGAAGAAAGAAGGCAGAAAAGGAAAGAGAACAAGAAAGATGAGAAATCTTAGCCATAGAAGAAGGATAATAGACTTCCAGAGCCATCCAGCTGCAGATCCCAGGACCCTGGGGTGAGGCCCCCAGCAGCAGGCCTACTGACTGGGCTTGGACTCTGCCTCATGAAAATCTGTAAGGATAACATTTAAATTATTTCACTGCTTGCCATTTTAGCAGAAACGTCCAGCTAGTACATTTTACCCAGCGTGGTTAGATTCACTTGAAGGAATACTCTACAGGTGAGGAAGGTTGAAAGTTTTAAAGATGCAAATAACTGAATGCTGTATCTAGTATCTGATTGTTTTGTGGTGTCAACTCAGGAATCTGGGAGAGAGGGCAAGAAAGAAGCTCCAGGACACTGGAAGATTTCTGGAGAGAGAGAAGGGGGTGGGAAGATCTGACAGGTCTCATGGAGTGAATGAAAATTCTCGAGGTGGTGTGTGGGTGGGATTTAATATAAAGACTGGGTTAAATACCCATTTTGCCTAAAGCTACCCAATATAGTTATTAATACTATTTACTAAACCACTTTGTTAGCCAACACATATAATTATATGGCCACACACCATATTAATAAGTATTATGCGCACTGTATTAATATAAAATACATTATATCAAATAGGAATGTTGGGTAGTTATGCTAACTAACTTGTATTCTGTTCACTTATGTCAAGATATATATGTGATATTACACCCCATATTCTTTATGGAAATATAATTATGATATGAATATAGTATAACTAAGATATACTTTATGCAAGATGGCTCATGTAAGGTATCATTGGAAAGGTTATGATTTACTGAGTGTGTTTATCCAATTTGTATGCATGTATCATTTTTGTATCTGAAGCTGGGAATATTAACCATGTCTCTGTATTTCAAATGTGCTCTGTGGGATGAGGCCAGACAATGTTAGTGGCTGACTGAAGAAATGCACACAAGCACAAGGATCACCCCAGGAACCGTGTGTAATAGAAACCTCTCCGAGATAGCTCTATACATTGGGAACTATTTGACCCAAGTCACAGCAAAAAAGCTTTCCAGCAAGTGGGGGGAAGATATAAAAGAGGGACAATGACAACATGAGTGGTCCTCACTCTCTACAACAACCCACCTGAAAACACCTGAGGAAAAAAGACTGAACTGTGAGAAGTGATGGTCCCAGCCTAAGATCTTTAGCCTGCGTGAGAAAATCTGGGAAAGCCAAGGCAACTGGTGCCTTAAGAATCTGCCAGCCTGTTTATCACTCAGGGTGAGAATTTGTTAATTTGTATCCTATCTATCTAGTGTGTTAAGCTCAGTCTGCGGTGTTTGTTTATTTACTAAAGTAATCTGCTTTGTTCTGTTTGCTATCCCTTTAACCACTTAAAATTCACCTTTTGTAGTTAATAACTTATTTCTTGTTTATAATAAAATCCATCTTATGTAATTTCTAACTGGGGCGGGGCAAGAAGTTGTGCACATCTCTCTTCATATTGAGGAAGAGGGCGGATTTTTGAGCTTGCACTGTGCAGATTTTTCTATACAGTGCAAGACAGTATTATTTTGGGTTTATCTCCCAAAACGGGTGTGGCACACGAGTGCTGGGGGAGTCCTCTCACACAGAGCTAACTTCAGCCTGTGACTACAGCGGGGAGTGGCCCTACCTCTGTGTGTGTGTGTGTGTGTGTGTGTGTGAGTGAATTAGGTGAGCCTAATTCAGCAAAGCAGGGAGAGGGAACCCTGGCTGGTTGAGCAAGAGAGGCTCAGTGAAATCCCAGTAAAACAGGTGGCACCCCAGAAGGGGGGTCCAACCTGTCACAATATATATCTGACAATACTCTGCAAATGAAAGGTAGCTTTTGGTATTCAAAAATATGAAACCTATCAAAGATACATGAGTGGTGTGTCCCAGTACAGGTTGGGTTGTGCCTCCATGGCCCCTAGCACTTGGAATGTGCTTTCCAAAACAAAAGATAGGGAAGGAACAGGTTGACAGAGGAAAACAAGGTAAAAAGGTGATTGGTGGATTTTAGTCTTGGGTGACATATAAAATGTTTTTAGCCTGTAAACAACCATACTATAAATAAGGCTAATTTGAATGCATACTTCGATGCACACCTTCTGTGTAAGGTGAACTGCATCCTGAACTGAAAGCGTTGTCAAGCAATTGGCTATACTTTAGACAATGAACTTGTTAACATTGTCATGTACTTTGAAATAATCTGATTTTTTTTTAAATTAGAGATTTCAAAAACTCTTTGCAGAAGCCATTGGAAAAAATCTATAAAATGTGGCAAAATTTTTCATAAATTTCCAATGGTCCTGCTTAAAGTCTAGTTTATGTCACTCTACTGGGTCCTCTCTGACTCAATAAGCAACATCACTGAAGAACTCTGAAAGGATCCCTGCCAAGCCTTCTTTTGCCAGAAAGATAGAAACCATAGTGCTGAGCTTCAAAAGGAGAGGAAGAGGTAAAGGCACAGGGAGATTCCTCTGGATTCTACCCTAAACAATAATAAATATACAAAAATAAAATAAGAGAATGAATGCTAGACAGATGTGCTCCCATCCCAAACCCCCTCAGGCATATACCTACTTTCTGTGTGAGCTGTATGTTGTCCTTCTCAGCCCCAGAAGTTGTGGTCAAGATCCATTGTTGAATCATCTTAAACACATCACCTGAAACGACCCTGAAGAAAAACAAACCCAAAAACCGAAGTATCAGAGGGATAGCCGTATTAGTCTGAATCTGTAAAAAGCAACAAAGGGTCCTGTGGCACCTTTAAGACTAACAGAAGTATTGGGAGCATAAGTTTTCGTGGGTAAGAACCTCACTTCTTGCATCTGAAGAAGTGAGGTTCTTACCCACGAAAGCTTATGCTCCCAATATTTCTGTTAGTCTTAAAGGTGCCAAAAACCAAAGTGACCTATAGTGCATCAGATCTGACTCCGAGGCTCTCATGGCTCATACAGAAATCTAGCTTCCCAACTCAACTCTTTATCTGGATCAGCAAGATTCTCTCCTATCTTTCCTGCATACATGTTTCTAGCACAGATCACACATGCCACAGGAGTTGAAGTAGGAATGTATTCTCCTTATACCAAGAGTCTTCTGGCTCAGCTAACTTTCTGTTGTTGTTATATTTTTACTTTAACCCACTTCCCAGGAAAAGAGGGTAAATTTGATGCACTTGCAGCATGCAGGTGCTAAAACTGTTTGGCTTTGACTTCTAATTGATTTTAGTGCTGATGAAGGAGGTTGGGGAGCCCACGGGTGAAACCCATGAGTCGTTTTCAGGGTGTAGTCAGAACAGAGAGCTTGTATCATGGACTCTAACTGCAGGAGAGTGGAACTAGGAGCTAAGGAGCAGTCATCATAAAGATCATTCCCAGACAACAACAATAATTAAGGAAAATGGAAATCTGGGGGGAAAGAGAGCTTAGGTTAACAAAAAATTCAGTCAAATAACTGACAAAAATTATATTAATCTCTTGTATGAGGTAGTCAAACTGGGCATGAGAGCTTCCAATAATGGGAATTCTGATTGTCTGAAGTCACAAGTTCTATGTAAATGTGATTGACTTACAGTGGAAACAAAAGTTGTATATTGATTTGCTTCCTTGTGATGGATAAAGAAGGCTAAAATGTGTTTTTAAAAGTAGGAGAGAGGTTCCTGTTGGATTTTTACATTAGAAATTCAGTCCAGCTTGTCCTTCCTGGGAGGCTCTATGGATTACTGACAAATAACAGCATTATGACAAGAGAGTATCTTGAGCAACTTGTTTTCAGTCAGAATATTCAAACTCTGGTTTTATTTATGTTTAACATGTATTTAATTCAAATGCCTGACAAACAGTTGTCATGAAAGATTTGTCATTGCCTCTCTACTAGTTAAAGACTGAGAAAGCTTCCAGTCTACTTTTGTGATCCTCCCAGAAAAACTCTAGCAAAAACAACGAGCAGTCTGGTGGCACCTTAAAGACTAACAGATGGTTATTTGGGCATAAGCTTTCGTGGGTAAAAAACCCACTTCTTCGGATGCATGTTTGAAGAAATGAGTTTTTTACCCACGAAAGCTTATGCCCAAATAAATCTGTTAGCCTTAAAGGTGCCACTAGTCTTAGGGTTACCATACGTCCTCTTTTTCCCGGACATGTCCGGCTTTTCGGCAGTCAAACCCCCGTCCGGGGGGAATTGCCTAAAAGCCGAACATGTCCAGGAAAATGGCGGCTCTGCTCCTCCCCGACTCTTCGGCTCTGTTTAAGAGCTGGGCAGCCCCCGTGCCTCCAGACCCTGCGCCCCCAGCCGGGCACTTCCCCGCCCGGGCTCCGGCGGCGCAGGGTTCGGAGGCACGGGGGCTGCCCGAAGCCGGTAGCGCTCGGGCAGCCCGGATCTTAAACAGAGCCGAAGAGTCGGGGGGGAGCAGAGGCGCCCTTTTCCTG